GCCAGGAAATCAAAAAACGTATTGCGATGGGAAAGTCTGCTGTTAGGGACCTCTCTAAAGTACTCAAGAGCAACGGTGTCTCTTTGGAGACGAAGGTGCGCCTGATACAGGCCATGGTCTTTGCAATCACTTGTTATACATCAGAGAGCTGGACAATGACTAGGGAGGACAGAAGGAGAATAGATGCCTTTGAGCTGTGGTGCTGGAGAAGAGTATTGAATGTACTATGGACTGCCAAGAAAACGAGAGCAAGCCTGTTTTTTTTATGTTGTCCTCACAGTTTTGACAGAAAACTTGAAAAATTTTTAAAAAATCTGTTTCCCTAGGTTTCTGTATTTATCCTGTGCATCCTCTTTCAAAGTATGGGCACTTCCAAGTATGGAAGAAAAAAATATTCAAAGTAGTACTCATTCTTCTATATCCAGTGTAAATTACTGCTCAGCAGAGAAGGGCTGGTTGAAATGCTTGCTGTTTAAATTAGCCACCATCATCTGTCATCTTGTCATACTGTGATGGCTTGTGTGTTGCTGTAGTGCTAGTAACTAAGCCACAGGTGCTTCAGATACTAGCAGGATCATTCCTGGTAGACATTATTCAAATCCATACAGCTTCTAGACTAAGACTGGAAGAAAGCACTAGTGAGTAGATATCTACTGCCAAGAATTAACCAGCGAAAATATATCACTTTTCTGTAGTCACAACTTATAAGTCACAACCAAATACTGTTTGATACAATGCTGGACGGTGCGTCGTCTTAGAGGCAGATGGTTCTTTTAATCGTAAAGTCACCATGAGTCGGAGCCAAGTCAATAGCAACTAATAATTTAAATTCAATTACTTTTATTATGTCTCCTACCTTCTTAGTTTCTGTCTTTGCTCATTCAAATAAAGGAACTAATACCCTAATACTTATTGTATAATGCAATAATGATCTCAAATTTTATCTTTGCCTTCCATCTTGTGTTAAACATTGGAATACAATAAAAGATTGTTTTACCCGTTTGCAAATAAAGCAGAGAGCTGACGTTTATAATTGGATTTCCTACAATTTTTATTTAAATAATGAACTCTTATAGCACATTTAAAATGTGACTCAATTTTATTCACTTGAGTCTATATGCCTCTTAGAATGATTCTGTCATATATAATGTAATGCACAGCTAATTGAAGCTTAGAGTCATTGATTATAAAACTTATTACTCATAGGTGATTCATAAATATTCTTTAACAATCAGAGTATCAAATTCAATAGATAAAACTGACAAAGAGTAATATCATTGGAAATTGCAGTAGACTGTCCAAAACAGGAATTTTTATATTCATATCCTAATGGGGATAGTTGGTTAACACCAAGGTAGAAATTATTGACTGCATACATACAAGATCACCCAGAAATTCAAGTCTCTGTTCTGGGCCAACATCTAAACATAATGATTCATTCTTCTTTCTCTCTTTTCTTCCATTTTTTTTTTTAATTATGGAAAATTTCAGATATACCTCAGAGCAGAAAACACGAATTAGCTTTGTATATCCATCACACAGCTTTATCAGTAACCTGTGGGTGACCAGCCTTTGTCACTTGTACCTTATACCTTATCTGGCTGTCCCCATGTTATTTTGAGGTAAATCTCAGGTATTACCTTATTTAATCTGTAATTATTTCCAAATTTTTTTCTTTCACAGATGAAAACTTTTTAAAAACTGTAACCTTAATGCCATTATAAGAACTAGAAAATTTTCAATAATTTCTCCATGTCTTCAAACATCTGGTCAGTGTGTTCACAATTTCTCAGTTATAGTGAGTTCACAAATAAATATCGTGTGTTCACAATTCCTCCTTATAGTGGGTTCTTTGGGATTTGTTTCTGCTGCTGTTTATTTTACATTTTGTTTAAATTACTATACACCTGAGTAAAGCTCTTGTATTGTGATTGGTTGATTGGTCTCTTGCATATTAATAGTTCCCTTCTCCCTTCTCTTTTTTGCTTCTTGCAGATTTCTGTTGAAAAGAACAAGTCATTTGTTCTGTAATGTTTCCCACAGGCTGGGTTTGCTAATCACATTCATGAGATGTCATTTAATATGTTTCTCAGTTTCTTGTATTTCTTGTCTCATAGCTGTTAGATGTGGAGTCTTGTTTGGATTCAGTTTCAGTTTGTTTCTTGCCAGTTTATTTCATAGGTTGTGTGTGAACTTCCATCAAGGGAGTCATAAAGTCTGGTTGTCTCTGATTTATTCCCTTTTAAAGTGCTGTAATCCACAGACTCTTCTGAGTTGTTGGAAACTTGATTCTCAAACACGAAACTGCTCTCTTAGAGTAAGAATAGGAGAGCAAACCCTCTGTGCCTGGGATTCATTCCCTGAGCCTCCACTTTCCTAAAACACATCTGGGGAAGGTCAGATTGTTGGAGAGCATTTGTGATAACCACTGCTTTTAAGCAATGTTTGAAGCAAGTTTACTAACTTCTTCAGTTATAAACCAATGCCGTTAGTTACATATTTGGAATTTTAAGATTATTTAACCCCTTTGTCGCTAGGACCAAAAGTTAGCTTGATCCCTTAAAGTTCTAAAAGGTCTCAGTTATTACTTAACAAAGGATTCTTGCCTTTTGAGTATTTTAAGCATGGTTTTCCATAGATACAAGAAACTTTTATTCCTAATTTAAAATGTAAAAAATACCCACACTAAAAGTATATCTTTAGTCCAGGGCTTTTCTAAATTGGTATTAACATTTTGGACCTTGTTTTTAGAATTGTCCCATACACCGGAGGTGTCCAATTGCACCCTGGGCTCTCTTTTGTTGCTAAGTGCTGTCAAGTTAGCTCTAACCCTGTGTGTAATAGGATGAAGCGCTGTCAGTTCCTTCCAGTGCCATCTTCACAACTGTTGCTTTGTTTGAGGCCATTGTTGTATCACTGTGTCATTCCATCTCACAGAAAGTCTTCCTCTTTTCCCCTGACCCTCTGCTTTACCGGGCATAATGTCCTTTTCCAAGGACTGGTCCCTCCAGTAATATATCTAAAGTGTGTGAGATGACGTCTCACTGGCCTTACTTCTAAAGAAAGTTCTTCCAAGATGGTGCTTTTTGTTCATCTACCAGTTTGTGGTGTATTCAGTCTTCTTCACCACCACCATCATTCAAAAGCATCAATTTTATTTAATGAGATAGCTTTTGCGTGCATTTGAGAACTCTCTGGGGCCCAATGGTAAGAAGCTGTGCTGCAGTTTCAAAGTCATGCCATTCTAATCCACCAAGTGCTCTGCAGGAGAAAGATGGGCATTCCCCTTTTATGCATTTACTGCCTCTGAAAACCCGATCAGCTGTGGGTCGTTTCTGACTCAGTGGCAAACAACAACAGCAAACTCATTAGATGCCAGTAATACTTATCCACAAACGTCTTTAGGTAGCCTCCCTGATACATCTTTTGTTGTTGTTGTTGTTGTTGTTATGTGCCACCAATTCAACTACAATTCAACCCTATGCATGATAGCTCTGAACCCAATCCATGTCATCTGGGGTCTTCCTCTCCTATGTTGTCCCTCAACTCTTCCAAGCATGATATCCTTTTGCAAATGATCCCTCCTTACTACATGCCCAAAGTATGTGAGACAGAGTCTCAATATCCTTGTCTCCAAGAAGAAGCTTAGTTTCACCCTCTCCCAGACAGGATTGTTAGTTCTCTTGGCAGTCCATTTTATGTTCAATACACTTCTCCAGCACCATAACTCAAAGGTGTCAGTTTTCTTCTGTCATCCTTGGCCATTGCCCAGCTCTTGAATACATAATAAGTAATTACAGAGACCACAGCCTGCATCAGGCACACCTTAGTCTTTAGACTGACATCCTTGCTTTAAAGCACTCTGGAGAGGTACCTGATAGCAGATTTTTCCTAATGCAATTCTTTTTTTTATATCCTGACTGCTGTACTAAGAATGTTGATTGTGGAGTTGAGCAAACTTGATACTTAACCTTTAGAATTTCTTTATAT